ATGTGAAACAAGGGAAGTGTTCTTTTTCTTAATAGAAGAGAAGAGTCTCCAGCTCTCATATACCTTCAACAATTTATAGCATAAACACTTTCTTCATTATTTTGTATTTTCATAGTTTGTTTCTTACTAATATCTGCGGCCTTACAAATTTTTATGCATGTCTCTAACTTTAAATTATTTTCTCGCAACCATCTTTCTATAACAAATATGTCATTCTAACCAATAACTATCACCATAGTAGTTAAACCATCTTCAAGGTGACTCAATTCTCATTTTTTAACTAAGTTCCTCACTCTTGTGTAAAAAGTGATCAAACTCTTCCCCTGTTTCCTGTTTAGTAATAAGCAAATTATATGTACGTATACCACAATAAACTTTTTCTAGGTTCTACAAATTCTTTGAATTTTGTGATAAGGGTATTTAATGTTTTTATACCTGTTTTATCAAAAGTGTTGTACACTTCGATCGCCTCTTCGCCTGCACAGTTAAAAAAAAACGCAATAAGGGATGTTATTGATATTTGAGGATTATCAAAATAACTTGCACACAGCTTCTCATCGACATTACTTTATTCTTGTTGCTCTTTACACATCATAGACAGACGACCAAAGACCGAGACCATAGCGCTCCAACCGGTTATCGTCGAGTGGACGGGGCGGCAGCACGGGACCCTTTCCTTCCGACTGACGCAGATCCTCCACTACCCGCCATCCCGACACCATGTGCACTACAGAGGGAGTCGCCCACGACAGGTCTTCGGGAAGTACCTGCACTCGGTCGCCAGGAGGGAATTGAGTCCCACCTGTCGCCACTGTGGTTGCAGTGATGACTTGGCTCAGCACACGCTGGCAATTTGCACGGCTTGGGCATCGCAGCGCCGGGTCCTCATTGCAGTCATCGGGAGGGATCTCTCACTACCGGCCGTCATACGCTCCATGGCCGGTAGTGGCACGGCGGAGGCGCGCTTACCACCGCCTCATGCCGCCCTGAATGTGGCCGCGGGTGGACGGGACGGGTTTTCCCCTCCACCCGCCATAACGGCCAGCCGCGAGCGAGGAGGCTACGTTCGCGTGTGCAGGGCGTCGCCTAAATAGAGAATGTACCCGAAGGTGGTACCCGCGCCGTTGCGGGCAGGCGCTAGGAGGGGTCCGGATGTCTTAATAACAGCAGTTCCCGGATCCCTCCTATTACAAGCGCAGAGTGGCACACCGTGTGGTTTTAGTCGGTCAGATTCCGACACACCACCCCGCCGCAAACCCCGGTGGGGTGACGGCCCGGTTTCCACACGTAAAAAAAAAACATGGATAGACAAATCGACAGTAGATAAGAAGAAACAGTGGGTAGTCTAGGTGTATCGAAGCTAACGGGTGATTCTTTGAAACCGAGGGTAAATGACTAATTCGTCTGGCTTAAATTTATTTTTAGTATTAGATACAAGTTTAAATATTAGTTTGTCAAGGTCATTAAATGTACTTAATTTATTTAAAAGGCACTGCTTTACTCCCAGTAATTTATGATTTAGAGTGTGCAGATGAATTAATCAGCCAGATGATGGCGATGGCAGAAGAATGAGATTTTGCACACTTATTAACTAAGATAAGGAATAAATGAGAATTTTTTGTATTATTTGAATCAATTTTATTGTAAAAAAATAAAATATAATCACTATATAATCACTATTGATCACTCAAGTGAATCTTAATTATTCTGATATCTACTACGCATACATGATACTACTTCTAATTTGTAACTGTTTCTTTGGATTGAATTATAATTATTAAACTTTATAAATCACACTTTATAACAAGACTTATTATCTCTTAATCTCTTATATCTTAATTGCAATGACATGCAATGGCAAAAATAACAATAATTCTTCACTTATGCCGATTTCACCAACGTCGAATAAATTTATCCGAAGAATAATTTCGGCGTTCTGAAAGTTTAAGTTGAAAAGAAATATCAAATATGCGCTCCGAGCGCATATTTGATATTTCTTAAGACTTATTTTACATTGGTGAAATCAGCCATTAGGAATAAATCATAAGAACAAAAACATAATGTATCAACGAATAAGAAGCAATTTGATAACACAAACAAACAACTAAAACAGACAAATCTGATATGTGGTACAACGTGCAGTACATGCGATATGCATCACCCACCCTCCTGCTTCTAAACATGCTGCTTCTAAACTTTTTTCTTAGGTAATATGACTTGTAATTTTTTCTCCATCTTTTTCTCTGTAACCTTTGATGTCTTGGAGTCATTTCCTTAATGGATAATTGTTTCTTTTCTTCTTTTCTTCGTATATAGTTTTTTTATTTTTTTCTTATTTTTCTTTCCATAAATCATCATTATTTTTTATTCTTTCGTATCTTTTTCTCTCAGCAAGCCTCTTTTTTCTAAGTCTTTCTTCTCTTGTCTGCGTCTTTGGTTTCGCCATTTCAAAATAAAGTTCTGAAAAGAAAAACTAGTATACAGTAACTATAGTCTGTTTATGTTAAGAAAATAGAGATTAAACTGATTATTGTCAGTAGAGTAAGCGATGCCCTCAACAAGCCCTCAATTATGTTGCGAGAAATCAAAAAACATTTTGATTTCACGCAACTCGTCCAAATTAATCTGGTCTTATGAGCCAGATAAATCTAGACCAATGAGGGCCAGATTAATGAAGAATTTGAAGATAATCGAATCCTGTTCAGTTATTTATCAACTTTTAAAATCATAGGAGTAATTAACAGTAATATACAACCTAATAAGGGTTTATGATTCTTACAAAACATTAAAAGACAGTTCAATATTATTCATAAACAATGCCAGATTAATTATGCTACTTACCTTACAAACACTAGATTACAGGTTGATATCGTATTTTTTCGTCAAAATACGCGACGTGAACGAGCGCTTCGTATGATAGACCGGCATGCACTGGCGCGAAAGATCGCTAGTCGGTTTATTCAATGGAAAAATTTAGAGTTACGTTGAATTCCCTTGTAGACGTATTGGGCCAGATGAATGATTACTTTAGTCGCGGATAATTTTTAAAGTACCATCATTTCAAGATTATTTAGTTATTATGTTTTTTAATTTGGAAATATTATTAAATATATAATGGAATATCGTTACAACTTACTTATTTTTTTTATATTGCGACAAATTATTCCAAAAAATAGTATAACTCAACACCAAAGCGTCATTTGGACGCGCCAGATTAATTAGTTTTAACTGATTTCTGAAAGCTCTATTAGCTACATAAACGTTGAGTTTAGTAATTTCTGTTTTCAGCCAGGCCAGCACAATCTGTGAGTCTGAATACAAGTACACTTTATTTATTATTATCTTCATAGACAACACATCATGAACTCGGTGTACTAGCTTGGCTAATAACAATGCAGCGTTGAGCTCCAGTCTGGGCGTTGTGATTTTTTGTTTGATAGGGACTAGTCTAGACTTAGAGCACAGTAAAGCAAGTTTCACACTACCTTTGGTGTCGATTGTACGCATGTATATACAGCAGCCATATTCTGTAGAGCTTGCAGCGTCAGCAAAACCAATCAACTGAATTGTTTCTGCATTTTGTAAAGTAACGTTTCTATTAATATTTATAGGTGTCATGTTTGTTATTTTTTTGTAAAACTGTAATTCATCATTAATTCATCTTGTAATTCAGATGGCAAATAAGAATCCAGATCTAATTTTTCTATCCACAGCTTTTGTAGAAATGCTTTGGCAAGTACAGTGACAGGACCAGCTAAACCCAGTGGGTCGTAAAACTGAAACATAACTTAATATTTCTCTCTTAGTTTGGGGTTGTTTTTCATCTGAATTAGGACTTGAATAATGAAAGTGTCAGTTTTTGTGTTGTATGTGACACCTAGTGTTTTTAAATAATAATTTTCTTTTTGCATGTCCAGCTCATTAAAGTGTTGTTTGTGTCGTGGTATATCTCGCAAAACATCATCACAATTAAATGACCACTGTGCGCCTGAAATCCACCCACCACGCTCCAACAGTGCAATTAGTTGACTCTTCATTTCAATAAGTGATTCTAGGGAAAGGCTAGCCACCAATATATCAGCAGCAGCAGGAAACTGCTCCTGATACATCATAGCCAACTCTACAAGGCATCTAGTGGCAAGGTAAGGTGAGGACTTAAATCCATGTGTAACTGTATTTAGCTCAATACATTTAATGTTTTCTTTAGGAGACTCTCGCCACAGGATGAGTTGAAGAGACCGGTATTTCGGATTTAACTTGACACAGCGAAACATACTTTTTAAATCTGTGCTGAACACATATGAACCTAAACGGAACATAAGTAATATGTCAAAAAGCTCTTTTTGTACAGTAGGGCCATTTAATTGTAAATCATTTAGAGATCTTAACAAATTTGTTAACATTGATGCATCGAATACTACTCTACACTTTATTGTCCTTTTATCAGGCCTCAACACAGCATGATGTGGCAAGAAATAGATAGGATCTTTAGTGAGGTCGTATTTATCAATGTCTATGTAGGTCCCATGACCTTAAGCGACATAATCATCTAAAAAGGCTTTATACTGCTTATAAAGTTCAGGTTCCCTTAATAATTTTTTTTCGGTGTTATGGAACCTTCTTAAAGTTAAATGAAATGAATCACCAAGTAAATTATTAACTTGTTCAAGAGGAACTTTAAGTGGTAAGCTAACTTCAAATTGGTTATCCTTGTTACTGTTTTCTGAAAAAAGTCTTCTGTCTGCTCAAACTCTGGACTTTTTTCTGCGAACATTTCAGGCACACTCTCGGCCCTCCAAAAGTTTTTAACAATATCTTTTATATTTGAATCACATGTTTAAAAAAATAAAGATACTTGCTTTTGTTTGAGTTTTGAGTGAGCTTGATTTGGAAGAGTACCTGCGACTACATATCCAAACTTTGTGTTTAAGAAGTGTGATGAAGGCTGACCGGCTGAGTTGTCTGGACTGCTCTGCACAGATGGTTGGATGCTAGGGTTTTCATGACCCAGCACAGAACATACAGGATGCAACGACAACGCTGGCTGGATTACTTACACTTGCAGCCATTCCGACTACCTTTGGTGGGCGAGGTGGCTGGCGTTGAGCTTGTCCCTGGTTTGAAGCATATCGTCCTGCCATATCCGAGTTCTCAAGTGCTAGAGCGCGTTTATCAGTAAAATTTGGAATATTAATGACCGGTAGCTTAGTTTTAACATTATCGCGAGAATATGTTTGATTCATTTTGGCAATGCATTCTCGAAGGTTAGCTAAACTTGACATGTATTTTTCTTCAATTTCCGTGAAAGGCTCACTATCCTCGTCTGTTAGGGTGCAGATCTCATAACAGATCGCCTCGTAGCTTGCAAACAGAGTAATTAAGCGATTTTCCCTTACCGCTAGGTCCTCCATGTTTGAAAGATGCAACGGCGATTCTTTAATGGAATTTATAAGTCTTGTGAGACTTCCCTTAATATGACCGCGCTTGCGGATGAGGGGCTTTAATGCGTCTTCAGCCATGGATAGTATTTAACAAAATTACACTTGTGTTCACTGTTATAATCAATGTAAACACTAAAAAATATTGCTTACACACACAAATATCGTTTTGTTATACGATAAACTGAAATAACAAAATGTTACTACTATATTAGAATGCGAACAAAGAAGACAGACTCAGGTTGATTAGCAAAGCAATACGCCATGGTGCCAATGGCGGACGTATGCGAATCGTTCGAACTCGAATAAATAATATTGTCCTATAACTATACACGATCCCAGTGTAAAAACTGTCGTATGCGCCCTCGTTCGTCGCGGTTCGTCGTTCTTCGCGATAGCCCGCTGTCTCGCTTGTTCTTGAGGGCTTCAGCGGCGACGATAAATACGAGTAGCACCGACGACGTGCCGACGACACCCGAAGACTAAAAAATTACCTGAGTACTACTTCACTTCATTGAACTTGTGCACTCGATGCAATTCGAATAGAATGAAGTTCGTTGCAGGATGCCGCAGAAAATTCTACAGAGTTGCCAGCCCACAAATCTATTTTGCATAAATGTGCTACTTGGGAGGTACTTATCAAAAACCAACACCAAGGTCAAATTGTTGAAGATCAAAGTCTATTTGTAGTCAAATGATGATTGGCGAAACTTGTTTCGGCGATAATTGATTTGATGGCGTTTGCTATCAATTTGTACGTACTGCACATCAAATAATCGCTGCTTGTCAGCTGTATAGGCATCCAAAATTGTACAATTAAACTGGAACAAACTCACGTAACGGCAAATTCTTCTAAGGCTCGATTGACCATGTCTGATTGCTTGTTTGTTTGTAGACTGTAAATCTTTGTAGGTTGGATGAATGCTGATACTGAGTTAAAGAACCAATCTTTGTTTGAGGATGCACTTTTATTGGTATAATTATTACAACGCATACAAGGTGCTACGTTACAGCGGAATTGAACAAGACTGACTGACTGTGAAATTATTGCCAGACTAATAGTTTACTTTTGTGTAGCCACAGATTGCTACAGGGGTTTATGGATTGAATAAAATACTATAAAGTATAGAAAGAATATGTGTATTCCGTCGAAGTCGAATTGGGAGCCACTTGAGTAATTTCCGAAATTGAGTCACATGATCATATTTGCGTAAACCAAATATAAATCTAATGCAGACATTTTGAAGGCGCTCAAGTGTATCAAGTTGCTCCTCAGTGATATCGAGATAGCTGACATCAGCGTAATCGAGTATAGGGAGAAGCAGGGATTCAGCTAGCGCAATTTTAGTGACCATTGGTAGGAAGTTACGAAGTCTTCGCAGTGAGCCCGCCGATGCAAACATTTTCCTGCTAACTTCGCGTAGTTGAGGGCCCCAGGATAAAGTATTATCAATCATAATTCCTAGGTTTTTAACACAAGCACTGATTGAAAGAACAACACCATTAAATTTGATGTCAGGTAAATCAGACCAGTCGATTTTAGAGTGCATCCTTGGACTGCCTACAACAATGACTTTGGTCTTTGATGGATTAACAACAAGTCCATACTGACTGCTCCATTAACAAACCCGTGCCAAATCCAAGTTCAAAACAGAGAAAGTTTCAGACAATTTGCTTAGAGGAGCTTGCTTATATATTTGAAGGTCATCTGCGAAAAGGTGATAGGATGAGAGTAATGATTTAGAAATAGTATTAATAAAAATAGTGAAAAACAGAGGAGATAAAACGCCACCCTGTGGTACTCCAGCACACGTATAACACCATGAGGAAAAGGATTCCTCAATGCGCACACGCTGCCTTCGACCCAACAGGTGACTATGAAACCAATAAATCACCGTTGGAGATATGTTAATAGTGTGTAAAATGCCTAGCAAGACGTCGAAGTCCACTGTATTAAACGCATTGCTAAAATCGAGTATTGAGAGTACGGTAAGTTTACCGTGCGTAGGCTGGGTATGGCCTAGCCTGACGTTATCAGTGACATTGATCAGCGCGCTTACCGTGCTGTGGCCAGTTAATTGAGTGTGGTGTATGAAGTTAATTGAGTGTGGTGTATGAAGTTAATTGAGTGTGGACTAGCCGTTCGAGAACTTTCGACAGAAAGGACAATACGGAAATTGGACGGTAGTCGGAGAAAGATGAAGGATCGTGTTTCTTGGGTAGGGGAATAATCTGTGCCTCTTTCCAGGTATCGGGAAACATACTATTAGTGAGGGAGTGATTTAAGATATGGCACAAGATGGGAAGGATTTCATCGACAATAGGTTGGATCATACGACTTATGCAGTCACTTCCAACAGCATTGGAATTTATGGACATGATACACTACTTAACATCACAAGCAGTAATTTGATGAAAAAAGAACGGGGAGAAGTCAGGAGTTGAAAGTGATGAAAGATATTGTAAGGTGTTAGCTTTACTTATTAACTTACTGTAATCAGACGAAGAAGAGAATGTACGTTTAACGACTCAATATGATTTTTTTTTAGGAACAGTATTTAAATGTGACTTTCCAACTTCAAGTGTTCTGAGAAATTTCCAGACTTTCACTGGGTCTCCGTTCTCGACCGAATTGTGAATGTATCGGCGTTGCGCTTTCCTACAAGCTTTACTGCAGAGATTTCGTGTGGCTATATATTTATCCCTATTGGCTGTTGTTGGGTGAGATTTGAACCTGCTGATTGAAATGATTTCTGCGTTCTGAATTGGTTCGTTGCAGCCTGTCTCGGTGATGGCCAGTAAATCAGCACAGTCACAGACAGAAATTCTTCTAATTTTGTTCTTTGTCCGCGCACGTTTTGATAATAAACCTCAATAGACTTCTTAGGTTTTGATGGGTTTATTGAGCGTTCCACGAAACCACACCCATTCACAAAATGCAATGTTCACGGGCCAGTTTTCCAGTTGACATAAAATGTTATACTTGCTTTCCGGTATTCCGATAATAAAGGAAGCGTAGTCCCTTTCTGATTTATGCCTTATTTTTTCCACCGTGATGGGGACATCCATTTCAAATATACTTTTAGCATGCTGTTTTAAATTTTCTACCGTAGTATCTTTTTGGAAACGCCATACGTGCAATTTTTTTTCTTTTCGGTTCCCTTGATGGTAACTGCAGCGCTACTTCCTCCTCTTTTTACCACACTGTTCGGTTATCTTCCTTTCTTCTTATTTACCATTTCCCAACTTCCTTCCTTTTCCGGTTCTAGTTCTTTTTTCTTATTACTGTCACCACACTTAATTCCATTTCTTTCTTCTACCTGTTCGCTCGTCTGAGATGTTTATAATATTATACAGCCATTATCAACTTGAGCTTTCTCTTAGCTCCTTACTAAATCGAATGGTTTCGTGGCCATACATTCCATAGTTGTAATTTTACTTACCACCTGCTTTTGTTTATTGTGCTGAACAGCTGAAGAAAAGAGTAGGATCTTTTTGCACATTTTTTTCTATATTATTTATTGAAAGACGTTTTCTATTGACACTTGCTTCTAATAATTCATTCTTACGAATTAATATTTCAATTTTAGTTTCTAATACTTGTACTTGTTGTCCGTGTAGTGACGGATTAAGAATACGGAATGTCACTACCCCAATTCATCCCGTGGGTGTTGTAAGAGCCGACTAAGGGAGCAAAACAACGCAGGACACCAGCGCTACAAAAAGAAGGTACCAACCCGTCTGGCCAGCGTATCGTAACAATAAAGATATAAATAAAAATAAATAAATAAATATAGTAGGCCAAAACCTCCTTTCTAAGGAGAGGCCTATGTCTAGCAGTGGACTATTAAAGGCTGTTGATGTGATGATGATGATGTGATGTGATTGCTGTTTTTTCTTGAAGTACCTTCACTTGCTTTTTTAATTCTTCTAACTCTGTCACCGATTTTGTAAATCTATTTTGTAGAAGTTTATATTCTTTAATTTGATCTTCTAGATTATTTTTTATTTCCAAACCAAACTCTCGGATTTCTTCTATTATGATATCCACCTTATTAACAAGCAATGATGGTCTTCCTCTAGAGCGTGCTCCGGGAACTGATAGTTCTAGGCCTGGTTTCAAATATAATCAGGTGGCCTCCTCCTGACATGTCTATATCACCTCATCCTACTACCCAATGTCGCGGATATGTGGATATGTCGGATTCGAACCGACCAAAAACCGCACGCCGTCTCGGGTATCAGTGGCCGGGAAACCTGGTGTACCCTAGGAAGGAAATCCCTGATACCCCGACGTACCTCGGGCCATCTAAGGCGTGTAAATGACCCCCTCCTGTGTGGTAACCCCTATTTCCCCTTAGTGCTCATGAAGGGGCACGCGCGCTTCACAGCGCGTCTCGCCACCACCCCGGCCTGCTTCTGCTAGGGTGACAGATGGCCTCACCTACCGACCCCAGGCCTGCGCTTATAGAGGATGGAGGTCATTCTGCGACCTCCGGCGCGGCCTGAGTCGTCTGCGGTACCTGACCCGTTGCCGGGCCTTGCGCTCCGGGAGAGTTCTAAACCCCTCCCGGTCCCTATCCGCCATCTCCTTTTCAAGAATAATTTGCTCCACGAACTCGGAGTTCGTGGAGCAAATTATTCTTGCTCCGTGGAGCTCCGTGGAGTTCGTGGAACTCCACGGAGTTCCACGAACTCTCGCTCCATACCATGGCGGCAATCATGTTACCGAGCGAGAGAATTCCCACTCCGATGGCCGCCAATAGGCAATGCCGCAAGTTTGTTATTCTACCGTCCTACAACTTAGTAAGTGTATACATATTTCGTTTCTCATACATGTGTAGCGCAGCCGGCGGGTGGACAAATTATTATTTCAATCACTTTGAAATATAACGTGTACCTATATAGCGCGTACATTTCTTACTAAGAATTTAATATATTTTAAAATAGTTTATTATATTTGATCTCTTATATATATTTTTTATTTATTTTTTGTAAATTGTTATATATTTTTTGTTATTATGTCAAGTGCAAATATCGATAGTGATGTAGACAGTTTTAAGTCAGCCAATAGTCATAAC